TACCGCCGCGAATATTCCAGGACGCAACAATTGTGATTAAAATAATTTAAATTCGGACCATCGTCATAATTTGGATTCTGAATGATGTATTGATTGAACGTCATTTCCGTTGCAGATGATTCATCCGCTTCTCCCGTTCCATTGTAATTCTGCGTCGACGTTATCGGCGTTTGGAACTGCGGTGCGTTTTCGTCGTCGTTAAATTATCCGTCGTGTTCGTACAGACGCCGTCAAGTTTGAATCCAGTGTTTGCCGTCTCGTTGACTCGTTCCATACAGGTAAGCGCTCCATTTGCTATTTTGCTTATTTTCTTACTTTGATTGCTTTGTTGCGTATTAATGCAGGGAAGGAGATTTGGAGTATTCGGCATTGGACGTTTATTTCAAACTTTGGAATACATTGTAAACTTCCAAATGGAGGCTAATCGAGATTTTAATAGACTATGAAAAATAGTAAAATACTTAAAAAAATAAAATAATTGGACATTTTTTGTCAAGCCAAACATTTAATGAACTTTAAAATAAACTTTAGAGTTAAAAATAAAATAATTGAACTTTTTTTTGTGAAGCTTAATATTTAATGTTCAACAGGAAAATGCTAGATAAGTGCGAGGCGGAATATTATGACAATGGACAAATTTCAGTGGAAAAAGTAGCAAAGAAATGGTACAAAAAAAAATTTAATGCAATTATTTAATTGTTCCAATGAAGTGGAAAATAAATGAGCACCAACCATTAATTGAAAGTGTTCTATTTATTAAGTATAAGATTCTTTAATATAGTAATATTTTTAAAATTGTAGGTTTATCTATTCTAAATGCAATTGAAATAAACATATGCAATAATTTTTGTTTGATATAAAAATTAAAATTATCAAAATCTCATTAGTGATTAATAGGAGTACCGATAATAGTTGTGAAAAGAGAGAAATTTAAGTAAGATACTCATATGTCCTAATCAGTTAATAAAAGATATGATTGAATTCAGTAGATAAAAAAAAGTTAAGTCAAATTTTGTTAAAAATATAGCTAGGAATAAAGAATTTTTAAGAAAAACTTAAAGAGTGTCTATGCAAAACAAATAATTAAGAGCTTTGGCCAAATTTAGAAGTTTCTATTAAGCATTTAAGATGTTAAAAAAATTGTTTTTAGGAGTTTGATAAGCTTGAATATATATAGCTGTTTTCATAATGATTTAGATAAGTATATAAACAACTCAATGTATCTAGTTTTATAGCTATTAAGTTTGTTTGGTGGTTGTAAACTTCAAATAGGTTTTAGATTGAGGATGAGTTTTAAGAACTCTTAGAGAGCTTTAGTGGGTGGTTGAATTCTTAAAAGAATTGTTTTAGTAAATGAATGATTTTATAATTCTTTTAAATGAGTCCCGGAGCTTAATATTGAGGGATGAGTAAAAGGATTCTTGGGTAGCAAGATATTATTTTGGGTGACTCAAGATATTGAATAACTTAAATTATGCCAAGTTTTAAATTACAAATGGTAATTGTCAGTTCATAATCAATGACTTCTTGAACTCAACACAAAGGTGTCGTGAAGATGATCTTTGAGTGCCTGAAGGGGGGGGGACTCGAGGATAGTAGTCTCTTCCTAGGTTGCTAGTAAAGTTCACCCAAGAATATTTTGACAAAGGTGGATGCCAAGGAAATAAATCATCTTAATGAGGAAGTTCTCGAAGATCTTTACGCTAGTCAATTCATGGAGGGTGACAAATTTGTTATGTACGTGTCAATTGATCTAATGTGAACATCTTGGCATGTGAGGCCACCCTTGAACCAATATTTCACTTTTTGTTCAAAGAAGCATTGGTAGCACCATATTATGATTTTTATAATCCGCATTAAAGAATCTTTAAGTTATCTATTTAGGGGTTAACTTTTGTATTTATTTTTTTTCATTATTATTTTCTTATAATATCAATGGAGAAATTCTGTGAATAAAAAGAAGTAAATAAATCTTTTTTTCTTGCATTTTGATGTAAGTAATGGATTTTTAAATGAGACTAATATTCATTTTCAAGTTGCTTGTGTTTATAAAGTTAAGTTTAAATCTTATTTCTAATAAATTTTTTACTTGTATATTTGATCTTACTTCATCAATTTGGACTTCTATGTGTAATTCCTATCATTCATATTAAATGCAATGTCCTTGAGTCACACTACAGGAAAACCCCTTATTACCGTCGGACGAAATCCGCCGGAACACATAGATAATCCGATGGAACCATAAGTTTGCGGAAATGCATACGCTGGTTTTGGCCGTGTTGATAAATTATTTCCGGCGCGAAATTTGGGTTGGAAATTTCTCCGGCGCATGTTCCGACGAACTACCGGCGAAAAAACGGATCGTTATCGACGTTGATAAACGTCTTAATTCCGGCGCCATTTCCGCCGGTACTTATCGTCACATTATGCGCCGTCCATTACAGCGGATATAACGCCGCAAAGTGCATGCAGAAAACCCACGAACTCTCTTGCGACGCAAAGTATACGCCGGTAATTACCGGCGGACTGTGCGCCGGTAATTACGCCGGTAGTTTCCGTCCGAACAAAGGCGCCGGAACACACGATACGATTCGTTGTATCGTCGTTTCCGGCGCAGATCCGGCGCAAAATCCGCCGGAAACCTGTAGCATTGACAAAAAAAAATTCCTTCTCATGAATTTCCGACGTATGTTGCGCCGGAAAAGGTGACGCAAACCTTACGTCGAACAAATCCGCCGGTAACTGCGCCGTTTATTACCGTCCAAAATTTTCCGCCGGAAAATCCGACGGTATTCGCGTGTTTTCCCGTAGTGTCACAATTTGTTTTTACATTTATTTTTATTTTTGTACAGTCTCAAAATCAGAAATCATTTTCGATAAAAATAGTAGCTGGCTGATAAAAGAATTTGGTTCATATTAAAGTGTCGCACTCTCAAGTTGCTAATTTGTTTATTGATTGAAATTAAGCAAAAGGGAAGATCATCTTGTCCTTTTCATAAGTTTAGTTTGTCCCATCAAAACTATGAAGTTTTATAATCTCCTCATTATGGAATTGAAGCTTCATGAGAATTTTGCTTTGTTTCCTCTATCAGAATCTCCTAACGCTAAACTTGAATTTGCCAAATAAGAAAATAAGGTTAGATAGTTCACATCCAAGATATAGGCTTCGTTCGGAATAATGCTAAAAAAAAATTTTAATATAATTTTTTTTGAACTATAAAATTTTTTAGTAGAAATTGGTTTAAAAAGCAGTAAGAAAATATCATAAACAAAATCATAATAAAGCATGAATTAAACTTTCTTGAGAAGCAGACGAGAAATTATTTATACAAAATTTCATGAACATTTCATTAAATCCTATTTTATAATGGCACTTGTGAGAAAAATGCAATACTTAGTTCATAAATGGATAGTTACATCCACTACTTGATTATGTTTTAAAAGAATCATAATATCTCACAATCAACATTTATAATTAATTCTAAATTTAATAAAAGCAACATTTTAAAATTAATTAATCGTCATCAAGCACGATGAACACCTAACTACCCAATCTTCCACTTATATATATAAATGCTAAATAAAATATATTAGGCACACAAGTGGCTCATATGCATGTATCTAGCTTCATATAATGCATGCTCTA